CATGATATTGGTAGTAGTTGAGTTATTTTCTTTGGTGTGTGTGGCTCCGGTTTCTCTATCTGAATGGATAGACCTTCAGTAATGTTGGGGAGATCATAGTGCATTGTCATTGACAGGCTGTTCTTCACTTTAAAGATTATTTGAAGGATGGGTTTTTCGAGATGGAATGACCAGTGCTGAAAAAGTGTTCAATTATCACACTACTCACTGAGCCACGATCTCTTTTCTGTAACCATGTAGGATAGTGTTCGTGAGCTGTTTTAGACAGGATGGATATCGAACGACCAATATAATACCTAGATACACAAGGACATATCTACTCATATGCTCATACACAAACGTGGCTCAACGACCGTTTAAAAGCTTCCATTCTCTCCCAACATGATCTCCTCCATGTCAAACTCTTACCAATATCCAACTGGTTGCTGCCCATTAGGGTCACATTTACGGGTCTGACTTGTGGATTCACCTTCTCCTTCTGAATATTTCCTGGTTGCGTAATAGGTCGTTGATTGGTTTATTGACTGACACATTTTCCTTGCTGCATATCTTTTTCGTATTATTAAACATTGTTTTTCCTATTTAATTGAATTTTAGATTTTCCCGTCGATTAATTTGACCAAAGTGCTCGGTCTCGGGTTTACATGTTGGCTTCTTATGCAGATGCTTCGACGATGTCTGGGCACGTAATTAGAAGTTAGTTGGTGGATCGTTACTAGCAATGGAATCCAGGGTGCTCATTTGTCCTATGTCCACTCGTCATTCAACTGCCCAAACAACGTCGAGGCATCTGCACAAGAAGCCGACATGTCAACCTGAGACCGAGCACTCCGCTCAAATCAATCGGCGGGAAAATCTATAGTTAAATTAAATTAATACGACCCGTTGCACAAGAGGTGGCTCTCGTGGCCCAAGTGGTCTAGTGGATAAGCTTTGGAGTTTAAAACTATGGACAGTAGGTTCGAGCCTCGGTGGGAACATCATCACTCCCTGGAGAATGCATGTACATTCAGGTGACGAGTCCCAAATAGGACGAAATGCGCATCCTGGATTCCAATGCTAGTCACCATCCATCAATTAATTGTTTTTCCTATGTTTATTTTCCGGAATAGCTTTATAAAAAGAATTTCGTTTTTATATATTTATATCAATAAGCACACCGCCGATGCTTTAACTTGAAATTGAACGCCTAAGTTGTAGTAGTTTTGTGATTACCGCTGTATACTATCAGTCTCACTTAGGGTAAAGTTAATATATCATAGCCAAGAATGCAGTGACCTTGAACAACCAATCAGAATCCAGGTAAAAAAAGTCGCATAATCGTTGAAAAATGCACTAAAAACCACTCCAAACGTTATTTTACACTGGATTATTGTCGCTTATGTGTTGTAAGAATGTTTCCTAGTGAATACAGAGATGATCTGCGAAGAAATCATAACATGCGCGACAGTCGAATTCATACAGATGACTGAAGGTGTTGGTACTTTGAGATCCATTGATATTTCCGACACTGTTCTTAAACGTACTTCTAACTCTATGCATAATCCCAAAGCCTAACCCTAACTTTAACCCTAATTCCAACCTTAATCCTAAAAGCTATAACCCTACCTTACAGTATGCATTTTCAGTTGAAGTACCTAGAGAATAGGTAGAAAACTGTATCTACCCTCTCCAAGTTCAAAAAGGCGGGCATGATTTGATTTGGAATTATCTTTCGTAGAGTACCCCAAGTCTGATTAGTTCTTGAAGAACAACATATGAAAGATCTTGACTTTGTCTATGAAACCTCTTACTTCGTTTCACTTAGATATCACGTAAGATAAAGAAAGCTACATAAATATCTATTCATCATCCCTAAATTCATAGAGAACAACTGGACTAACAATAAAACAGTCGATAATTAAAATGAAAGTAAAGTGTCACCAGCAGTTGGCAGAATCCTAGTTGAAGGACTTCAGAGAACGGAAATATGATCTTTTTCTTTCAACGGTTTTTTGTTAAAAGTGAAAAGCAAAATTCTATGTCATAAAAACATCATGTTTATCACTTGTTTTAAACAAACCTTTGTTCCTCTCATCTGTACATATTCTGAAAATGTAGTAATACTTATGTGAGCGACATAAAATGTATACGTGTTCGCTCACACTTCATGTTCTTTTTCCCTTAAGCTGTTTTGTTGCCATGACAATATTTGGTTTCTCCATTTTACGAACTTATGGGGAATTCACATCCTCATCGCAAAGCAGAATTAACGACAAGATCGGCGAACCTACAGTGAAGAAGAGTTATCGGAATGTACAGCCAGTAGGCGTTTGGTTTATATTCCAAGATTCATTTCAGTTTGACCGAATTAAAGCAAAATTTTTAAAGTTTTCGATTGCGTGGACTAATTGATTAGTTACTGGTCTGATCACAAGCTGACACCAGTTAGAGAACCACTGGAAAACCAGGAGGGATTTCCGGAAAGCTATTTCATCCTAGTCTAAGATTATTCAGCAGTATGCACCCACCTGCCTTTGAACCCAGGACCTTCTGGTTACAAGGCAAGCTCGTAGATCATTCAGCCGCTGCAACCCGGGACAACGTTCCACGAATTCTTACTCGTGGGAATGTGTGATATGTATATAACACAACCACCAGCCAATCACCTGGACGAGTAACTATCTCATTGTCAGATTTAACAGACCCTGCTGGTTGCGAATTCTCACTAGAACTCCAGGTGACTTCTTGTATAGAGCCAGTAGTTTGTGAGCAGCATCAGATTAACTTTGAAATGTCGGTTTGCAGACGAGAGCACAGTTATTCGGCAAAATACACCGTGAATTGGTAGATGCCCGAATTCATGGGCGACTGGATAGGACTGCACTCGGTGAAATAGTGTAGAAGCTCGCCTTGTAATCCCTGAAGGTCCTGGGTTGAAACCAAGCGGTAGATATTGCTGAAGAGCCCCCAAACATGAGGGACGATAAAGCTGCCTTTCCCACAGGCTAGTTTTCCAGTGGTTATCTAACCGAGATCACCTCATGAGCCAACCTCTAACTAATCAAATAATTTCTGCAAATCAACACGCTTGAAAGTTGAAATTTATTAAAGTACCAGTTAGATAAACTAAACACATACGAAGTAATCCCATACATAAATAAATACAGAAACGAAGACGGTGATAAATATGATCGTAAGAAAAAGACGTAAACAGCGAGAAAAATTTTCTCTTTTCGACAAATCATTTTCATAAGCTGTACACAATCGTAATTATATTTACCATAGAAATCATAAGACAAATCAGAAACTGGCAAAATTTGTCCTCGAAAGCGCATTACTTCATGTAAGGTGTAGTCTAGAAGGGGTGACTGATTGGAAATTAGAAAAGGTGAAAAAGTTGGCATGACGTAATGGGTGTGAGATAATGACTAGTCAATATAATTGTGTAGAGTGGACAAGAACTAGTGGGAAGAAGATAAACTGTTTTTATAAAATCTGTATGAAAACGCAGTGTTGTTAATAAACAGTAATAGAGCTATAATAAAACAAGGATGATGGATGAGAATAATAATAATATTAATAAATTTATATAATATAAGGAAGGAAAATTATAGTGAGAACGCTACTCTGGCCATGGGAGGAGGAGTGAATGTATGTGGTATTTTTCAATGCAGAGGTCTGGTTTCAGATCCCGAATAGCCAATGATTCAGCCACGTTTAGATGATATATTTAAATTTCTTTCATACGATATTGAGGAACTTGGTGTAGCACTGTCAAGCATTCATGCAAGTGTGGGTGCTCGATGTCCAGAGTTGACAAGGTGTTTGAGGATGAAACTGCTAGTATTCTTCTTTTCTCCTCTGGTTAGCTAGCCAAGCTGGACAGTGTTCCAGAATACGTCCGTGGGCTTAAATTTGTGTAGGGCCGATATACTTTGCTCTACACGAACAAGTAAACTGATAAATACACATATAGGCGGCCAAAACCAGTATCTTGTCCTTAGCGTTAGACTGGATTAACTGTCTGCAGAAGAACGTGATGCGTGAAGTGGCTGCTTGAAACCTCTTATTCAGACATTTAGAAAACCAGTTTCTAAGAATTTCCACTTCAATTTCACCTTTGAATTCCATGTTCCAGACCCATTTTGTAATTTCCAGCTAGTCACCCTTTTTCGATTACACCTCACATTACGTAATACCCTCTTCGAGGACAAATTTTACCAGTTTCTGATTGGTCTTATGCTTTCTTTGTTAAATATAATTACGATTGTGTATAGCAGCTTCTGAAAATGAGTTGTCGAAAAGGAAATTTTCGTCTTTTTCTCGTATGACTAAATATGATTATCGTTGGGCTTATCTTCAATGAACACATATCGGTATATTTTTTTCCTCATATTAAAAGTTGAGTATTACAAAAACAATCACAGAGTACGCTTAAAAAAGAGAAAGTGAGTGATAAGGCACACAAACACAGAGAAGTATATAAAAAACAATACATACAACTAAAAACACATTGAAAAACTGGTACAAAAAAAAACTCAGAGACAGTAAGTATTACAAAAACTTGATTGGGATAAGACACAATCACACAAACACCCATGTTACATGCATTTACACAAAAATGCGTGACTACTACCTGTATTGTAGAGGGGTAAAATAAGTAGAAAGGCGAAGAATAAGCACAAGAAGAGGAACTATTATACATAAAACTGATTATCATGAGGTAATAAGTAGAATTTCCCTGCTGAGTGATACAAAGCGATCACTATAGAAACAAAAGTAACCAACCCTCTTTTATCTTCGTCAATCATAAAACTGTACACAGATACTTGTGTACAGTAAATAAGAGGTCACAGCCAATATATATATAAATTAGTCGAGTAGTTAGTCTGATTATTTCCCTCTCTCTAGTTATGTTTGTGTAAGAGGATAAATAGAGTTGATTGGCCTAATAAGTCATATAATAAATCATAACAACATTGGAGTAGATTCAATTGTCAGAAAACTACAATGATGAACGGGTGGATAACATGGACACGGAGAGAAAGAGACACAGATGGGAGGAGTTCGACGTGCTAAATCAAAACATTACGCAGACTTTCTCTTTATCCCATTTTCAACTTTCGATGACGATGATGACGATGATTTCGATAAAGCTGCGTGAGTACATTTCAATAAGTTACTTGATAAGTTGGTATTGTTGCTGTTGTTGTTGTTAATGTTCTTATAGATTTCTGGTTTTGATAGATCTTGAGAATTGACACAATGCGCTTGTGGACCATTGTTTGGAGCGAATACAAAATCCCATAGAACCTAAAGTTGTTTGAATTCAAAAAATGTAGAGGCGATAGAGATTTGATGGGGATGATAAGAGAAAGACAATTTGTAAAAGTACAGTAATATACAAATAATTGGTGCTTTTTCAAGACAAAAATATGCACTCAATGAAAGTGATGATTATTTTTTTAAAGTACTTTGCAGAATTTCTTTTTTTGTCACTAACTGACACTGGTTAGAGAAGCCTTATAAATTAATCTATGTTGGGTGGTGTTTTCATCTTGTGAGAAGACTACACCATGCATGACTGAATAAGCAAGCCTTAGACAACACTACGTCTAATGGCGAACCACTTGGCAGTCAGTTATCTTCCTCAAACTCAGAGACTTTGAAAGGCCATCGTTAGCATCAACCGTGAAATGACTTGAAAACTGCTTCGATATCAAACAGCAAGGTACTGTAGACCTATATCAGCCTTATTCAACAGTTGTGTAGTGAACCAACATGTCAATGGATTCACAACCGAAATCTCAGCGAAGAGTTTGGAATGACGATAGGAGTAAGACAAGACAGTTCACTAGCATGAATGATATTCTTGATCATGGTGGATTGGACCAAACTACAGACCTTAGGGTGTAAGAAGACAAACCTACAAGAAGATTTCAGAAGACGTGAACTTCATGGATGATTTATGTCCAATATTATGCATATTCAAAGACTCAAGGGCAAAAACTAAAACGCTGGCAAAAAAACACAGAAAACACAGGATAGAAGTAATGAAAGTATGTTGAGAGCTAGCTGCAACCCAAAAACTGTAGACAGCAGTTTACGTCAATATTACGTCCCGGATCAGGATCATGAGAAAAAACAATAACAAAGCTTAACCTTGAGGAACTCACCAACCAGTCCCAACAGAAGTAACGTGTGCAAATACGACTCGCGGATCTACGGCTTAACTTTCTAAGAAACTGTCACAAGCAGTACAGGAAAACAACCAGTCGGAAGACGTTGCTTCTCTGCTAACAGTAACACTAATAATTTTTTTTCCTTCACGTTCCCAGTGGAACGTAGGGCTTCAAGCTAGAGCTTCGAAGTTTCTGTAGCAGAGTTTATTTTTACGGGATGGGGTTGTTAGCCTTATGCCCAACCTTTCCTCTTTACCAGTCTAATTAGTGGCTTAACGAGGCAAAGGAGTGCGTCCAGTGACCGAGGATCAAACCCCGGACCATGTGCACGATAGGCAAGCGTCCTAACCGCTGTGCTACCTACTTACTCATCCTATCACTAGCAATATTTTCAAGAACCCACATACTTTGCTCTGCTACATGGATGGCAGGATGACTAATAAGTCGTATTAACTCCGGGTCTGCGCCAGAGTTAACCACAGAGCGTGTGTGCCGACTATCTCCCGAAGCAACATTCGTCAGTGCCCAGGCTGCCTCAAAAACAAGATCATCATGTGTAGAGCTCAACACTAATAATGATGTACATAAAAATCTATGAATATCTCTTGATTTCCTCAATAAAAGATTTGTTGTCTGGTCCTTGTCTTCTGTCGTTACGAAGATAATTAACCAGCAGCAATAAGCACCAGTCGTTGTCAGTCAGAGAAATATGAAGAGGGTCGTCTCTTCCACTTATCAGCTACAAGAAGTCGGCACTGATGAAGATGTCAGAGCCAAGCAGGGTGAGACTGAAAAACAAGATGGATGATCATTAGTCTGAAATTCGTCGTCATCAGTCTCCTTAAAGGGCGTGAGGGTTTGCAGTGACACGTGTCCAGAATCTATCTCATTAGTCTTTCAGTCAGATAACAACACATCACATATTGTTATATGATAGGCGTCAAACAGTCAGAATCGGGCATGCTGTTAACACCTAGTATTCAAGCCTTTTTATTAGATCAATATATCATATATTTTTGTACTTCATAGTTACTTTCTCTGGCACTTTGTTTGGGAATAAAAGTTTCCATTTCTACTGTGTGCGTGCTCTAGAATGTACCAGTTTCAGTTCAGGGAATAATCAACCAATAAACTATCAGTCATCATTCGTATATATTTACACTCGGAGATATCATTACACTTTAGTCCCATATGTATTGTCTAGTTAGAAAGTTACTCTGTGATATGTAGCAGCTCTCTGTTCTGCATTAGCTGACTAGCTGCATGGGCAACTCCTCTGGCGTATAAATCAGGACTAATTCCAGACAACAGTGGTTGACGACAGTTTGACGATTAACTGACTTCTGATAGCATTAGCTGAAGTGTGACAAACTATTAGCTGTGAAGAACCTGAAGTAATCCTGAAAAGTACCTAGAAGGTGTGTTTTATATGCCAGTCGATAGGCAAATAATATAAGAATAAAACTTGTGCACTGTGGTAGAATATAATTCCATTGTGCGTAAAATTTATTTTGAGGGTTGGCTGCTAGCCAAAATTGGTAGATAGTAATTTACGTGAATGTGTGCGTCCCCAATATTGGTCATGAGAAAAGTAAGAACAAAGACTGACTCAACAACCAGTCACAGCAGACTTTGTTTGCGTAGGCGGATACAATTTGCAGATAGATAATCTGAACTCCAAGAAACGGCCACAAAGAGGTGAAAGATAAACGTTCAGTGAGAAACCACTAATCAGAAGACTGTGTTTGTTTGCTTACAATAATCTATAATAATGTACATGAAAATGTATAAATATGTGTTGATTTCCTAAATAAACGATCTGTTGCCTGGCCCTTGTCTTCTGTTGCTACAATACTTACGGATGACGTTTCGAGCACAGTTTATTGCTCATGATTATATCAGATTACTCACACAACTTTCTAACTTCATTTATATGATTCCACTATTTCTCATCCCCTGATTTGATGATTGCTAGTAAGATTTTCCATATTTCTGGTATGAGTGATGAATCATTCCTATTGCACGTGTTGGGTGTAGATTCTGTGATCAAGGATTCAGTAATCAACCTCTCTCTCCACCCACCTGTATTACTTCTTAGAATTTTAACCCTCTCCCACCCTATTGTGTGGTTTGTGTTAATGCTTGCAGTGCAATTGCTGAGCTTATTTCTAAATCGCTTATCTTCGTGGCTTCGATCATTCTAACCTCAGCTAAATTCTTATGTTCCGACAATCTGACTAAGCCCGATCTACTAGGTATTCTGTAAATTATATTACTTTGTCTAATTAGGTCAACTGGGTCCTTCAGTCTACAGAGCTTGTCCTACCTGAGTGAGTTTGTAGGTTTAAATGCCAATCTAATTCCTGCTTTATTAAGAATCCTATGTAGGGTCTCAGATGTCCCCTCCGTATATGGTATAACATTAGATGCTTTATATTCTCTCTTATTTATGTGATCATTACTAGTTTGGCAATTATTTTTATTTTGCTTTATTTTGAGATAGAGAAATAAGTTGCTAAATAAGTTATGAGTATAGATTGTCTTGTCATACCACTTTGTAACTTTATGTATACCGATCTTAGTGAAGAGCCATTTTCAAAAGTCTTTTATTACTTCATATTCCTTCTGTTCATTCTATCCATTCCAAGTGTAACGTAGAGTCTGTAGCTTTTAAGTTTAAGTAGCGATACTGTTGTTTCATATGACGCAACTGGGTAACTAGCCTCATGTCCAACCTTCCATCTTCTCTGGGCAGTAAACTAACAGCGGAATCAGACCTAGAACTCATGCATAGCACTCTACCGTTGAACTTCTGACACACTCAATGTTCAAGAAATCACAAAATAATAGGTGTCGCAATTAAAATGACTTTTGTTCTGTTTAAGATGGTAACAAGTTACCATTTGCCTGTATTAATCATTTCACATAAAAGACTACGTCATCAATGCGGACCTTCAGAAAATTTTTTGGGGTAAGGTAAAGGCATTTCGTAGTGATGACCACTTTGCCATCTACCTAGCCTGTAGCAGTTTCCACATGTATCATGTGACGAAGTGATGTGTTTCATCTTTGTGAAAATGAAGAAATTTCAAAGTTTTCTTCTTGGTAAAATATTCTAATCAATTTGTTTTTTTTTCTAGCATTATTCTTGATTTTGGACTGACAAACTGGTGATTTAAATAAACATAGTATGTGGGTCATAAAAGCACATACTTGCTTCATTCATTTGTAGTTAGTAAATTCCATTGTCTATAGTATTCTTCCATGCTAAGCCAGTAATGAGACTCGTAAAGAGGGGAGTTTGGGCATGAGGTTAGCAACCCCACCCTGTAGAGATAAAGACCACTGCTATCGAGACTTCCGGCCTCTATCTTTAAAGCCTTATGTCCCACTGAGAACGTATAGGAGTTAAGAGGAAAATGCATATATTGAATTAGAGTACCAATAGTGAGTGTGTTTGTGTATATTTATGTACCGACAGCCGGTCAACATGGTACAGCAAAAATACAATAGACTGTCAGCAATCATATTCCTGACTTTAGTGGAATGAATTATTCAACAGACTGTGAAAAAGGAGATGACACGAATATGTTGAACCGAAAAGAAGATTCTAGAAGATCTGGATTTCTATCATGGGACACAAGTAACTGGTGTCCAATCAAAAAAATATCCAACACAGTCGTGCAGGAGGTCAATCGCGAGCCCGTCTGTCTGTCTCTTTTCGACATAGAACTTAGCACATATGTGCGGCAGTTCAAGTCGCCACACTCCATGAAGCACACAAAGCAAGAGAAGAAAGTACGAGAAGTACATAATATAGACAGTAAACAGAGGTGTGAGACAAAGGAATGGTAATAACGAAGAACAAAACAGTCTCATTGGAAATCATAAGTCACAAGGAGTGGATGCATCTGCGCCAGCCATTGAGAACGATTTTGAGCCATGTCGCCAATTGTTTCCAACCATTGGTTTTTACCGTCCAGGAAGTCTACACCTTCTTACGTGGCTTAAGCTAACTGTTGTGGATTTCATTGACTGGTGCCATGTTTTCGTTTGACCGCCGCTAGCTCTTTTCCAGACTGGCCCTATATCAGCTAACATTGCCCGTCGAGGAAGGTGATGACTAGGCAT